ATAGCATCTTTATTTATTTTTTTTTTAAATTTTTATTTATTTATGATAGTCACACACAGAGAGAGAGAGAGGCAGAGACACAGGCAGAGGGAGAAGCAGGCTCCATGCACCGGGAGCCCGACGTGGGATTCGATCCCGGGTCTCCAGGATCGTGCCCTGGGCCAAAGGCAGGCGCCAAACCACTGCGCCACCCAGGGATCCCTGGAGATAGCATCTTTAAAGAGGTAATCAAGGCACACCTGGATGGCTCTGTCGTTTGGGCTTGTGACTCTTGGTTTCGGCTTCGATCATGATTGCAGGGTCATAGGGTTGAGCCTCACATTGGATTCTGCCCTTAGTGTAGAATCTGCGTATCCTTCTGCCTCTGGTTCTCCCCCCACTCTCCCTTGCTCTCTCAAATACATACATACATACATACATACATACATACAATCTTTTAAAAAAATAAAGAGGTAATCAAGTTAGCATAAAGTCATTAGAGTGGGCCCTAATTCACTATGACTAATCTCTTTATAAGAAGTTATGCATAGGGTCCCCTGGGTGGCTCAGTCGGTTAAGCATCTGCCTTCAGCTCAGGTTATGATCCCAAGGTCCTGGGATCAAGCCTGGGGTCAGGCTCCCTGCTCAGTGGGGAGCCTGCTTCTCCCTCTCCTCCCCAGCTCGTGCTCTCTCTCACTATCTCTCTCTCTCTCAGATGAATAAATAAAATCTTTTTTTAAAATTTTTATTTATTTATGATAGTCACACAGAGAGAGAGAGAGAGAGAGAGAGAGAGAGAGAGAGGCAGAGACATAGGCAGAGGGAGAAGCAGGCTCCATGCACTGGGAGCCCGACGTGGGATTCGATCCCAGATCTCCAGGATCGCGCCCTGGGCCAAAGGCAGGTGCCAAACTGCTACGCCACCCAGGGATCCCGAATAAATAAAATCTTAAAAAAAAAAAGATCTTCATAAAGGGAAGACGATGGGAAGAGACATGGGAGAAGATGCCAAGGATAGAGGGCTGGAACAGATCTGTTCTTCATAGCTTTCAGAAGGAACCTTCCCTGCTGGCATCTTGATTTTGGACTTTTAGCTTCCAGAGCTATGAGACAATACATTTTTTAAAAAAGATATTGATTGATTGATTGATTGATTGATTTTATTTGTGAGAGAGAACCCACATCAGCAGGGAGGAGGGGTAGGGGCAGAGGCAGAGAGGGAATTAGACTCCTCACTGAGCAGGGAAGCCCAACGTGGGGGCCAGTCCCAGGACCGTGAGGTCATGACCTGAGCCAGACAGACACTTAGCTTAATCGACTGAGCCATCCAGTGACCCCGAGATGATAGATTTTTGTTAAGTCACCCAGTCTGTTATGGCAGCCTAGCAAATAACATGCATACAGTTTGATCTAATTTGAGTTTTACCAGCTTGCAAAGGCACACTTAACATACCCCTGCAGAGACAGCAGTTCAGCTGGCAGGCACCCCTTTTAGGAAACCTGTGTCCCAAACCACTGAGACTTTCCTCCAAGCTTCTAAGTTTTAATCATTCTTTTCCCTTTGTTCCTCCCGCCCTATGAACTGTTTCCTGCTGTTGCTATAGCTTAGTGTTCTCTTTGCCTTTTCAAGTAACAATTCTTTATTACCTAGTTAAACATTCTTTAAGTTCTCTTTGTTAAAGTAACTGGAGCCTAGGGGGCAGGTTTGCTGCTGTCAGAGCCTTGAGGGGCCTGACAGAGGTGTAGGGTGGGGGCCGCTGCACTAGTGGGTCTGGAAGGCCAGGCATTGAGTCAGAGAGGGTTATTCTCAAGGCTGAAGATTTAATAGAATTTAGCTTGCTGGGTTTTGTACTTCCTTGAAACCTATCATTCCTTCTATTTTTCCTATTCCTCTCTTTGGAATAGGAATGTCTGTCCTATACCTGACTGACTGCTGTATTTGGGAAGTGCATATAACTCCCAAATGTGATATAACTCCCAAATGTAACCCTGTGGTTTCACAGGGTCACAGCTGGAGAGGAATTATGCCTCATAATGAATCACAATTCTAGTCTCACCTATAATTGATTTAGATATTTAGATGAGAGTTTGGACGTTAGAGTTGATGCTGGGATAAGCTAATACTTTGGGGTTTGTTCGGATGGAATGAATGTATTTGGGATGCAATAAGGACATGGATTTGGGGGGACCAGAGTCACAATACTATGAACTGAATTGTGTTCCCACAAAATTCATACGTTGAAAGCTCTAATCTTACCCAGTATGACTCTCACAGATGGTGTGACAGAGAGATCTTTTCTGGTGTAGACTTGTCCAGACTGTATTTGATACCTTTGCTCTGATGTTAGTGACAAGAATCATGGTTCACAAATTTGCATAATCCAGGCAAGGATGGCAGCTCTTTTTTTTTTTTTTTCAAGATTTTATTTATTTGAGAGAGAGCAAGAGCAGGGGAGAGACAAATGGAGGGGGAGAGGGAGAAGCAGACTCCCTGATGAGCACAGAGCCTGAGGACGGACTCGATCCCATGACCTGGATCCCAGGACCCAGATATAATGACCTGAACTAAAGTCACATGCTTAACCAAATGAGCCACCCAGGTACTCTACAGATGGTAACTCTTAAGCAAATGGAAAGTGGTGAATTTTTTCTCATTTGAATGTAGATTGGTCTTAGGCCTATTTTCTGAGTAATTGTTAAGGAAAATAAAGTACAGAGCAGAATAAAATATTGAAGATATATAAATACTGGGTTAAAAAGGCTACATAAAACTTAAGGTGTCTTATTTTCTCATAGTAGCCTGTATGTTCCATATGCTATTCAGTTTTCCTGTTCACATGTTAGCCTCATTAGTCTGGGAGCTCTGTGAGGATATTCTGGGGGATATTTAGTTACTTCATGTCTCCTAGTTTCCAGCACTGTAGCTGGACAAATACTTGACATTTCATGCAAATTGATCAAACTTAAACTTAAGTGCTGAAAAAGGCCTGTTTCAAGTCCTTATTGTCAATGTCTCTCAGACCTCTTGATGACCCAGCTGATAGAGAAAGGGGCCGCTCAGTGAAAGGGTTGTACTTTGTCCAATTTAGACATAGAAATGACTTTCCGTTATGGTGGGTTATTTTGAGAGGGTGAGACATAATTTACATGTCAAGTCAGTCAGTGGCCAGAATGGTTCCTATGTCTGGAGGGAATTTATGTCTCTGCTCTTCTTTGCCTAGGTTTTGAAACTTTCGTTATTTAATAATAGTTGCTATTTATTTAGCACTACTGCATGTCAGGTGTAGTGCTGAGGGCTTTACATAATGAGATCTCCTTCAATAACTACAATGCTCTGAGATGGGTAATCCATCTTATAGATAAAGAATCTGTAGATCTGCAGTTAAGCAAATTGTCCAAGGCCACACTATGGGAAATGAAGTAACTGGAATTAAAACCCAGGTCTCTGACTCTAGAGTTTGACCCTTTCTAGTGGTCTTTCCTGCTCAAGCAGAGTTCCTGGACCTTTAGAATGAAATGATGGATCTCCTGACTCTTCATACCAGGATTCTTTCTCCAAGCATTCAAAACTCAAAATCCTAATTATTCCTCTGAGAAAGTGATGGCTAAATTTTCTAGTCCCCAGTTTGAACTTGTTAATACACCTTTCCTTTCTTATACACCAGGCTGAAGGAGGCAGTTTGCAAAGTGGCAATGTGAGATACAGAAATGAGCAGGGAGCTTTACTTTGTGTGCCCCCCTTCAACAACTCTTGTCATATCTGTACTTGGAAGGGTTGATATGATGATTAACTGTGTTATAGATAGACTATTGGTTATGTAGGGCACATATAATATTTTTCTCTTTTCATTTATATGTGATATATCCATTGCTACTGAGCAGCAGTGTTGTTAACCCAAATTGGGGATCTTGTAGAAGTCCTTCCTGAATGGCTTAGGAATGTGTTAAAATATATCTACATATTTTTAAAAGATAAGAGCTGGGGCACCTGGGTGGCTCAGTCAATTAAGTGTCTGACTGTTGGTTTTGGCCCAGGTTGTGATCTCAGGGTCATGAGATTGAGCTCCACACCGGGCTCTGGGCTCAGCGAGGAGTCTGCTTGAGATTTCCTTCTCCCTCTGTCCCTCCCCCCTGTCCCTACCGCCTGCACTCTCTCCACACACACTCTCTCTCAAATAAATCTTAAAAACAATATGAAAACTTTCCTTGAACTGGAGATATAGAAAAAAATAGATTTTATTAATCCAGTATTTTTCTTATTTTTCATCTGTTGTGTAAAGGTATATTGAGGGACGCCTGGGTGGCTCAGAAGTTGGGTGGCTGCCTTCAGCTTGTGATCCCAGCATCTGGGATCAAATCCTGCATTGGACTTCTGTGAAGAGCCTACTTCTCCCTCTGCCTGTGTCTCTGCCTCTCTCTCTCTCTGTGTGTCTCTCATGAGTAAATAATCTTTAAAAAAAAAAAAAAAAGTAAAAAAAAAAGTATATTGAAATTCAGTAGCTTGAAACTTCAAACAGACTTGATCACATTTCTTTACCCTGGACGAAGTATCTTAAGGGTGAGAAGGCCACCTGGCTGTTTCAGAATGAGGTTGATTGGAAGTTCCCGTCCCCCAACTCCTCTGCCCCAAGCTATGTCTTGTCTTTCTTACATTGTTAGCTGATCATGCTCACACTTCAGTTCTAATGGTACATCCAGAGGTGACCATCTCTGCTGGACTTATTTACTCATTTGGAGGTCGTTGTAAGACCGAGTCCTTGGGGGAAGCGATGGCATGGGTGTCATGATGGTATCCCCATGCCCTGTACCAGCAATATTAGTACTGAAAGCTGTAGTATCTTTTGCTTGGGGGTAAGGAAAGTGGTGTCCTTGCCAGGCTGATTCTTCAGAGTGATTTTAAGCCAATTCTTAACTGCATCTTTCAAGCCTCGTTCTCTTTCTAAGCAGGAGATTTTGTGTTCCTCATACTTTCTCCAAACATTTTTAATTTATTATTATTATTATTATTATTATTATTTTCACATCAGATGGGTAATGTGCCAAGATCATAACAAGGTTTGAGGGAGAGGTACATGTCACACAATGGTGTGAGCACCCAATCATCATTCTTATATGAACTACAAAAGGATCCAAACATTTTAAATTTAAAATATAAAAGAATATGGGGCACCTGGCTGGCTCAGTGGGTGGAGCATGCAACTCCTGATCCCAGGATTGTGAGTCTGAGCTCCATGTTGAGTGTGGAGATTGCTTAAAAATAAAAGAATAAAAGACAAAAAAAAATAATTAAAAAAAAGAATAGTATGATGAACTCCCATATACTCTTTGTTTTCTCTCTCTCTTTTTGTCCAATATTTTCTTTTGCTAAGCCATTTGAAAGTAAGTGGCAGGTATGATGCTTCACTCTGAAAACTACATGTATCTCCTGAGTACAAAGATGCTGTCCTACATAGCCACAATGCCATTATCACATGCAAGGAACTTAACTTTGATATAAAATCACTGAGTATATAGTTCTGTTAGAATTTTCCTTAGTCCTTAAAATGTCATTTGTAACTACATTTTTGGGCAACGTAATCAAACCATTAATACCACTTTTGTGCTAGATGAATTCACACATAACTGAAAAATCTTAGATTATCTCAAATATCCCAGGACTCAAGTTTGATTAATTTTCTATTTCAAACCCAAGTCCGTATTCAGTAGTGTTTCACCTAAGGATATTTTATTTTATTTTATTTTATTTTATTTTATTTATTTATTTAGTGCACCTAAGGATATTTTAAAACATGACATTTGGTGTTAATACTTTTGGGACTCTGGAATAACCCATGCCCCCAATTCCCAGGGTGTTAAAACTAGAAAGAAAACTCTTTTCTTTTAGCTGTTTTTGTTTCTTGTTGCTGGGTTTTTTTTTTTTTTAACCATGTTAACCATTTTTAAGTGTAGAGTTTAGTAGTGTTAAATATATTCACATTGTTATACACCAGTCTAGTTAACTCTTTTCATCTGGCAAAACTGAAACTCTATACCCATTAAACACTAACTCATAGGTCATGAGTTCCCCCAGCCCCTATCAGCCACTCTTCTACTTTCTGTCTCTATGAATTTGGTGACTCTAGGTACCTCATATAAATGGAATCATGCAGCATTTATCTTTTTGTGACTGGCTTATTTCATTTAGTATAGTTTCCTCAAAGTTCTTCCATATTGTATCATATGACAATATTTCCTTCTTTTTTCAGGCAGAATAATGTTCCATTCTATGTAAATACCACATCTTGTTTATCTGTTCATCTGTCAGTGAACTCTTGGGTTGCTTCCACCTTTTGACTATTGTGAAAATGCTGCCGTGAATATGGGTGTTGTTTTTCTTTTTGAATCCAGGATCCAGACGAGAATTATACACTTAATATTGTGCTAATAAGTTCAGTTTCTGCTAAAAATCAGCTGGTGTTGACTTATTGCTAGTCATCAGAGATGCAAACGCTATCCAAATGCATATGGATAGGATAGTATCTTGTACATGATTGAACTCGATTTATAAACCTTATACAGTAACTCATAGTAACTCATAGTGGGTGTTGGTATGACTGTACCTCGTTTCTGGGATTAGCCTTAAGGTCCTGGCTTTTCTCCATCCTTACATCCCTCCCTCATTCTGCCTGAGGCAAAATGCTGAGTGAGGAGATAGAAACTGTGTATACATGGCCCAGAGGCTTCCTTTCCTCTTCCTTTTGTTGCTATCTACTCTCATGTGCCTTCTGTTTTGCAGTTCTAGGGGAAGGGTAGAAGTGGGAGCTGGCTCTGTTTCATTGTTGCTACAACTAGGTAGATAATATTGATTATACAGTTTGACTCTTTAGCCCAGCTAGTACACAAATATTGGTCCTCATCTCCTGACTCTTTGTTTTATTTATCAGTTGGTTTATCCAGGATAAGAGGGAAAACGTTGCTTTTTATTGGACTTCTTAAAACATCTCAGTTATCTGGGAGACACCTGAATACCAAACTTGACATCTACCTGCACAGTGAACCCCCTCCTGTTGCATAAACCTGCTCAAGATAACAAGTTACAATTTGGAAGGTGGCAGGTTCTTTGTAAACCGATGTGAAAGGAATATGATATTGCCAAAGAGATATTAGTGTCAAACAAATTTGGCTTTCCCCACTCTAGGGACCTTCCTGTTGAGGTTACTAATGCCAGTGATGAGAAGTAGAGTATTCCTGTTTGCTACAAGCACAGGGAAAATTTTACTCTTTTTAAACACTCTCTTTAGAAAAAAAAATTTTTTTTCACTGCTGAAAAAGGGAGAAAAGCAGAAAAGCACAAAGAATAAAACAAAAAATACAAAAACATTACCCAGAAATAACCACTTTTCATGTTTTAGTACATCAGTTTTATCTCCAAGCCACACTTCTCCTTTGAGCCCCAGACCGTGTATCAAACATCTCATTTGATGGCATATCTTGAATGTCTCAGACTCTGCACCCAGCATGACCAAGAATAAACTCCTGCTCCTCTCCCCCCACATCTGTTTCCCTAGTGGTGTTCTCCATGTGAGAGTGTTGGTATCTCCATTCATCCAGCTGTTCACATCAGAAACCTATGCTGTTCTTGAAAATTCTTTTTCCTTTACATTCCATGTCCAATCCTTCAGCAAATTATCTTGCTTTTAACTTTTCTGTATGCCTCAAATTCATTACTTACTTCTTTCCCCAGCACTACTCCCCTGTCCATGCTGCAGTCACAGGTCATCTGGATTATGAGAGATTCCACACTGGTCCCTTTCTCTTCTAGCTTATGCATACTGGCCTCTAGTAATTTGCTCTCCATACAGAGACAAATATTTTTACAGTGCAAATCCAATGGTATCTTTGGTACCCCAGCCTCCCTTGCTTCCCCACCACCTCCTACCCCCAGAGGTAATGACTCCTTAAGGTGGCTTATGAGGCCCTGCCTGACCTGGTCTACTTACCCCTCTAGCCCCTCCCACACCATTCCCTGCCCTGCTGACTTTACTCCAACCACATGGCCTTTTTCTCAACTCCTTATCTTTGCCACAGTCCCTTGTACCACTGGGCTCTGCCCACTTCATAGTCTCTGCTTAGACAACTCTTTATGTAGTTATTGTACAGTTGTCCATCACAGCTCAGTCAGCATAGAAGCCTTCCCTGACCTCCCTGACCAGGTCAAACTGCCCCTGATAAAAGGCTCTCTACCAAATGCATCTCCGTCACAGTACTTAGAATGGTTGCAGTGCATTCATGGTTTTTGTTTGTTTTTTAAAGATTTATTTGAATTCCAGTTTGTTAACACACAGTGTAATATTAGTGTCAGGTGTACAATATAGTGATTACACACTCCATACATGTGGGTTTTTTTTTTTCACCTCCACAACATTCCATTTATACACAGAACTAAGCAGAGAAGCACAGAGTCACTATTGAGGTTAGAAGTTGACAGCATGGGAAAGGGTAACAGGTGAGGAATTAAGGTGTCATTAAAAATACAGGCTTCCCCAATCTGGGGTGCCTGGGGGGAACTTGGTCTGCTTCAACCCAAGAGGAATCAGAAGATCAAAAGTGGTTTGGGAAGGCCAGAACCATCAGGGATAGAGGGAGGAGGAAGGTCCAGGGGCTGAAGGGGGCTATTTGGCAACTGGGGTGAAGGGATTACCCTCCCCCTGCCGGGATCCCCCCAGCCCCTCTGGTCTGGCAGGAAGGGAAGCCTGCAACCCCCATGGGAAGGTCTGCGACTACCAGATGCTCCAGACATGGCTGGAGGGGGCTCACAAAGGCTTGCCCTCCAGGGAGATGACGGCACTACCCCCCCCCCCCAGTTTCTCTGCCAAGGTGTAGCCATCCTTGACCTCCTCATAGCAGTTTGCTTGTAATTCATGCTTGATTCTGGTCAGCTTTTTCTTGATGGCATCCTTGGAGCTGGCAAAAATCATTTTGCTCTTAAGGGGTGCAGACTCAGGTGCCCCAAAGATAAACATCAGGTTCTCCTTCTTGCTCCCCTTGGTTTCATAGGTTGCATCATAGAGGACATAGTGGCAGTCCTTGTCTGGCAGAATCTTGACAAAGGTGGTGTAGGTATCTTCTACAGCCTCACCCACATCACCTACCAGGAGCTCCTTGCTCCAGGATGATGTTCTTCTTGTCCTTGCCCAGGCAGAAAAGTACTGCCTTCTTGCACTTCTACAACCCCTCTGATGTTGAGGACTTACACACTTTCATGTCATTGAACACTTTGATAACTCCATCAGAGACTACCATGCCAGAGGTCATGTTTCCAGAAGTGAAAGGGAGATAGCAAAGAGGGTCAGTAGAGATGAGAGCTGCTGCCAGGATCCAACTCTGTTTGTTTCTTTTTAAAGATTTTATTTATTAATTCATGAGAGACACAGAGAGAGAGGAAGAGACACAGGCAGAGGGAGAAGCAGGCTCCATGCAGGGAGCCCGATGTGGGACTCGATCCCGGGTCTCCAGGATCACACCCTGGGCTGAAGACGGTGCTAAACCGCTGAGCCTCCCAGGATGCCCCTGTTTGTTTCTTAATGTTGGTCATCCCTCACTAGACTGTGAGCTCCTTGAGGGTGGGAACCATGTCAATAGTTGCTCATTATTGTATCCTGAGACCGGGAATATACTCATTAAACATTAGATGAATAAGCAAATGCATTTCCTTCTGGTATTTTACTACACTCATATTTGCAAAAATGGGAGCATAGTCTACCTACTATTTTATAGTTTTTCTCCCCACTTAGCAATAAGTGAATATTTTGGGGCTGTTCTTTTTTTTTTTAAGATTTATTTATTTATTCATTAGAGAGAGAGAGAGACTCAGAGACACAGGCAGAGAGAGAAGCAGGCTCCTCACAGGGAGCCTGATGTGAGACTTGATCCCCGGACCCAGGGTTATGCCCTGAACCAAAGGCAGACGCTCAACCGCTGAGCCACCCAGGCGTCCCTGGGGCTGTTTGTCTTTGCAAAACCCACTCCTTGGAATTTTTGCTGTTTCCAGTTTACTCCTTGAGTCTTCATTTGGAAAGTCCACTTTAGAGCTGGATATGGATAGCAGACCTGAATTAGCACTGGCTGCAGCTGTGACATCTGATCTTTT